TGTCACGTATGAAGCGTAACAGATCAATCGGTTCCAAAGATAAAACTCCTTGAAGAAGGAGAGGGGCAAATATTCAAAATGGTCATAATAAGGAGGCAAGTGCCCTAGAAGAGCACCACGACATAACACTTCATAAGACCTCATGGGAGAGGCTCAGGTACCTGAAAATAATGAAATAAAGAGATCTCAATAAGTTATGTCTTTATTGNATGTGAGAGGCTCAGGTACCTGAAAATAATGAGATAAAGAGATCTCAATAAGTTATGTCTTTATTGTGTAATAATTGAACCGATATAAAATGATTGTCGACGATATTGTTAACATAATGTAGCGCTCAATATTATTAACATTGACGAGAATCTTGAGCTCAAATCTGTCATGAAATTTGGACAGATAAATGATTGGTCAAATGAAAAATAAGCAATAAAAATTGACTTCACTTGAAAAAAAGTGAAGTTGGGCGGATAGTCCCAACACCTGAAAGTATAAAGCCAATGAAGGTATAAATGTGTTCTTGTGTAAAAAGTTCAAGTCGATAGACATAAAGACGACTTGTGACACAAGAAAATTATAAATATCCTCACATTGATTATATGGAGACATGTTCTCTTATGGTGGATATAATCATTTCAGGTTTTAATCTGGCAATACATGAATACTTGATATGCGTATAATGAAAATCATTGAAGGATTAAAATTATTCTGAAGCATATTAATGTTTCCAAGAAATTTATTAAATAAAGCTTCAAAAATCCTTATACGGATTGAAACAATCAAGGCGCATGTGGTATAATCGCCCGTGTGAGTACATATTGAAAGAAGGGTACAAGAATGATTCAATTTGTCCTTGTATCTTTAGGATTTGAATTTGTTATAATCTCTGTGTGTGTTGATGATTCAAATATCATTACAAATCCCAGGAAGCTTCCTAAAGTAGTAAACTATTTAAAGAAAGAATTTGAAATGAAAGATCTTGGAAAGACAAAATTTTGTCTTGGTCTACAAATTGAGTATATGAAAGATGAAATTTTTATCAATCAATCAGCATACACTGAAAAGATTTTAAAGCGATTTTATATGGATAAAGCACATCCATTTAGTACCCCGATGGTTGTGAGATCACTCGATAAAGATCCATTCTGACCTCATGAAAATAATGAAGAACTTGTTGGTCCTGAAGTACCATATCTTAGTGCAATTGATGCACTAATGTATCTTGCTAACACTACAAGGCATGACATAATATTTTCAGTTAATGTCTTAGCAAGATATAGCTCTGCTCCTACAAAGAGACATTGGACTGAAATCAAACACATATTGTGTTATCTAAAAGGGACTACCAATGTGGGCTTATTTTTATGGCAATGATTGTAATCCCGATCGTGTTGGTTATGCCGATGTAGAGTATTTATCTGACACACACAAGGCTTGATCTCAAACATGCTATATGTTTACATGTGGAGGCACTGCCATATCTTGGCGATCGACTAAGCAATTAATCGTGGCTACTTCATCTAATCATGCTGAGATAATTGCTATTCATGAAGAAAGTCGAGAATGTGTACGGTTGAGGTCCATAATTCATCTTATTCGAGACAAATGTGGTTTGAAGTGTTGCAAACTACCCATAATTTTGTATGAAGACAATATAGCATGCATAGCCCAAATTGAAGGGAGGATTCATAAAAGGAGCTAGGACAAAGCACATTTCACAAAAGTTATTTTTCATGATCTTCAAAAGAATGGTGATATCAATGTGCAACAGATTCGTTCAAGTGATAATATGGTTGATTTGTTCACCAAATCTTCAGGAAACTGGTGTACAAGATTGGGATATGAAGGCTGAAGGATGTGAATTATGCTCTCATCAGGGGGAGTTAATATGCAGTGTACTCTTTTTTCCTTACAAGGTTTTGTCCCACCGGGTTTTCCTTGCAAGATTTTTAACGAGGCAACCAAAAGGCATATTTCTAAATATGTGTACTCTTTTTCCTTCATTAGGATTTTTTTCCCATAGGGTTTTTTCCTGATAAGGTTTTAACGAGGCACATTATTTATGGACACCCAATGAGGAGTGTTATGATAAAGATCATATAATGGTGGATGTCTACTCTTCCTCCATGATCTTCATGTCAAATGCTTAATGACATATTCAATGACATATTTTCTTCACTTTTCATGCCTATATAAAGGCCTTGTAATAGATAGGAAATATACACAATTAAAGAAGAAAATCTCTTTCTTCTCTCTATCTTTATTTCTTGTTCATGTTTTACTAAATTGCTTTTATTTCATAACAAATATGACATATTAATTAGGGGCTGCTTACTTATTTGTGAATTTGTAGCGTATTAGACATATGGAAATTGACTTACACATTGTTGGAGTACTATTGACTTGGTCAGCAATGGATTATTGGAAAAAATGGATCAAGAATTGGCATCACCGAAAAAACTTATTCACACTGAGTGTTTACACATAATATAATTAAGCTAACCATAGAAGACAACTAAGACCTAAGGGCCTTATTTTAAATAAATAAAAAAATTAAAAAGAAAGAAATAACAACGTGATGTTTTATACTTCAATACCACACAAAAAGGGGGATAAGGGTGGGGGAAGATGATTTGTGTGGTACCCAATTTTCACTTACCTTGATTATAGAAGGACATGATTCTTCTATGTATTCCAACTACTACTGTTGCGGAATAATAAATACAAAAAATAAAGAACATAGAGATTTTACGTGGAAAACACCTGGCTCAAAAGGTAAAAAAACTACGACCTACCTTCCAGTAGGATTTTTCCAAACTCTCTACTAAAATCATTGAGCCAAAAACTGTATTTACAAAAAACTCTTTTGTAAACCTAGGATTAACTCTAATCCCGTTGTGGCACACAACCTCAACTGTTGCGACAACTTCAAGTTAACTCTAACTTGAAAACTCTAAGTATCTAATACAATTGCTTCTAAATAAGTTGAAAGGTACAATGTAAAATCACCTACTACAATTGCATTAGAATAAAAGATAGACACTTGGAACTGGTTCTTCTATTTGGTTCAAGTAGCTTCAGGATTGCACGCTTGAATCACACATAAATCGCTTGCAAAATTGTCTTGCTATTTTGCTCTCAATTCACGTTTAACTTCTGCTTATGTGCATTACCTGTAAAAGAGAACAACACTAATATTTAAGGAGTTAGCAATTAGAGATTGACTAGGATACAGATGCTACTCTTCCATGGTGGAAGAGTTCTAGTTGATCTCATACTCTAACTCTATCCCCTATTCTCTTTGTGTAAGGAGTCTTTCTCCTTATCCAATATGCAACCTTTTCGATCATGATCAGGAGATATCACTTCTGATAAGTTAGGTTTAGCTCCTTCATGTGCAACTCACATGTTTGAGTTGATCATAACTGTGCTTCACAAGATGGACCTGGTCCATGTCTAAGTTCCTTTGTCAGTCTTCAAAACTTCACCTTTACTTGGGCCAACAAATTTCCCTTTTTGATGATGACAAACTCTGTGCTTTTCACTCACTTAGGCCCTGTTAGAACTCAGCTTATTCATCAATACAAAGTAATTAGAAAAATTTACTTATCATCAAGGACCAGGTTTATTAGGTTACAAACATCACTTCTTCAAAATATATAAAGCACAATATCTCTTCTCCCTTTTGGCATCATCGAAAAGTTACATAAACAAAGTGTGAGTCCAGAATTTTAACAAACATGGCCACTGGGGCAACTGCAAGTGCAATCATGAATTAATCATTAGTAATCAAGCAAACATATTCAAACTATCAAGGAAATATTAACAATCATCAAGTGCAAAAACAGTATATATTATTGATAGAAGCTATGTTGCTACCACAATCCACAAAAAGACAGCAAAAATATTCAAAACATGAGCAAAAGAAAGAGAAATCCCTAATCTGGGTCACTGGTGGTACTAGACAGGTTCAGGAGATGAAGTCTAGAAGTCCTAAGGCTTGGGAGAGCTAGAGGGTTGGTTCTGGGCTTGGAGAAGATTCAGCATATTTTGAAGAATTCCATCATTCTTCCCCTTTTCCTTGGTAAGCTTAGTTCTGAGAGCATCCCTCTCAGATTCAACCTCTGCTAAGCGAGCCTTCAGCCTAGCTATCTCAGCATCCTTGGCCCCACTTTCCTGAACTAGAGCCCTAACTTTACTATTGATAGATGTCTTCTTGGATGAACCAGGTTCATTGGGAATGACATTGACTAGATAGTCACAGGCAATCAAAGTATTAATGCCAAAATGGTCCTTGCTTGTGGCCATTTCCCACTTCTTCAGAGGCACCTTGCACCAATCTAGAACAGTAGTCAGAATAAATCCATAAGGGGTGGCATGGGCCTTGGAGCCATTGATAACCCTGTCCAGTAGCTTGATGATGAGTGCAGGCAAATTGATTTGCCTTCCACTTTCAAGGCACTCCATTAAAACCAAGTCCATATAGTCAGCAATGTGCCTTCTTTCCTGCCTGGGCGGTATGCACTTGTTGACAAACTCAAATAGGACTTTGTGTTGTGATTTCATTTCACTCTTGTGCACAAACTTAGAGCCTCATTCACTTCTTCAACATCACAGAATCTCCTAGTTATTTCAAGGGCAGGAGGAAGGGAATCCAGACTTGGCCATCTTTGCCTAGTGTAGTCATCATATCCCTCAACAGGGATGTCAAGAATCTCTCTCAGCTTCTCTGCTTCGAAGGTCACTTGAACCCCTTTCACTTGGCTGGTGACTCTGCCATCCTTGACCTCTGTATTGGCCATGAATTCAATTATTTAATTCCTAGCTAGCCTTCTATCCATATTAAAGACCATGTCCTTCCAGCCCTGAGCAGCTAGTGCATAAACCATCCGAACCATTCCTGGTTCCACCAAGTCTTTCAGCAATCTACCCTTCAGAATTTTTCTTTTGCTAAACTTGGTCAGCTTGTTTTATTCACCATTAGACTCACTCTCTTCTTCACCACTTCATTCCTCATCCTCCGCAATTCTAACTGGTTTGTTTTTCATTGCAGACCTTGTCCTCTTGACCAATGAAGATTCAGCAGCCTTGGACCCTGATGAAGACTTCTTGGAAGAGGTCTTGGTCTTTTTAGGCTTGGGGATCTGAACCTCCACAGTTGTATGTTCCTCTTGATGGACCAGTTCCATCTCCTCAACATCAACAACCTCAAAAGTCTCTGCAACCTTAGCTTTTCCTTTATCTATCCTTTTCTTCTTACTTTCATCCAAAGCCTTTTGTAATTCACTCTCACTCTGTTTCACGATACTTCTTGTGGTTCTCCCCTTTGGCAAGGGAATTTCAGTAGTTGTTGGGGAATTGACCTTTCTTTTCTTGGTGTTCTTTGTAGTGCTTGGAATCTTAGGCGTTGGTGTTCTCCTTTTCTTGGGATTATAACTGGCACCTACTTTCTTTAGAAGATCTGCTATGGTTTCTTCAATAGATGAACCCGATTCATCCATATGAGAACTCAAATTTACCAAACCCTCAACAGCCTCCCCTGATCCACTTCCCCTTGTTTTTTGCCATTTTCTCCTACAATTTTAACTTCAGCCCCACAAATTGTTGGTATAATCATCTCAGAGGTATATGAGTAATCAACAACTTCTACCCCTTTTCCCCTCACATCGCAGCTTGCACCCTCTCTCTTATTTTATTTTTCAATTTTATTTTTATCTCCTCTTCTTCTCAACTCAGGCATTTCCATTTCTCTAACATACCTAACAAGAACACACCTATTTTCTACACTTTCAACCAATGGCGAACGTACCTCAGAAGGGGAACTCTGAATCTTCTCAGAGTCAGAAGACGCAGGTCCTTCCCCCTCACTTGCAGACTTGAAGGAATCGTCTGAGTGTTTAGATTCTTGGGCTTGGGTAGCCTTCAATTGTGTGTTCAATCTCTTCGACAATGCACTTGTGGCTATAGTTTTTTGAGCGAGCATTTTAACACGCCTTTTCTTAGGCTGGAGGTTTGTAATGGGTGAAAGAGGTGTGGATGAACCAGAAGCAGAAGGTGGTGGAGGAGCGCCTAGATTATCTTGAGGGTTCGACATTGTAACTAATTTCGTGAGAAAGTTTGTGAGTTAGGCTTTTAGAAGAGAAAAATTGAGAGTGAAAGAAATTTTTGACGGTTTGGAATAATGAGGGTGGCAGAGGGTGATGATGGGTATTTAAAGAGAGAAACTTATTTAATGACTAACGGTAGCTTTTCACAGTCAATTAGAGGTCTAATCAACCTGAAATTTCAGGTTGAATGAACGGTTAAGCTTCCCTAGATTTTAGGCATTTTATGTGGTGAGAATTCTAGTAGAGATGGAACTGGTTCAAAAATAAATGGATAGAATTTTCTGATATTTTTAAACATAGGTAGGACTCTACTCATGATTTAAATATTTATATTTCTAATTGTGCAGAGTATAAAAAAAATACCTCGTTATTCAGATGAACCAATACTGATGAACCAGGTTCTTCATTTAGAATTCTCTTGATCATGCCTCAATTACCAAAATAGAGAAAATTTTGTTAGAGATCAATGAGTCATATCAACACATGTCACAGGAGTATACTATTTACAATATGAAACTCAGTAAAAATTAATCTAGATATTTACACAAGTTCAAGATTTCCTAGCCAAAAAAGAATTTTTTTTTTCATTGTTTTTCATTGTGCATTCTGAGCTGGTCCCATTAGGTGATCTTAATCATCCCTAATTCTAACCTGTTCCTTTCAAAGCTTTCTCTACTCAGTGCTTTAGTAAAGATGTCAGCAATTAGTTTATCAGTAGCACAGAATTCCATAGTAATCAATCCTTTCTCATAGTTGTCCCTTAAGAAGTGATGTCTAACATCTATGTGCTTAGTCCTCTTATGATGAACTGAATTCTTAGTCATACTAATAACACTAGTGTTATCACAAAATATAGGTATGCAACCAACTTCAATGCCAAAATCCATCAGTTGTCGTTTGATCCACAGTAGTTGAGCACAACAAGAGGAAGTAGCAACATACTCAGCCTCAGCAGTGGATAAAGCTACTGAATTCTGCTTCTTAGTGGCCCATGATACCAGACATGAACCAAGAAAATGAGTCATACCTGAGGTTCTTTTCCTATCTACAAGGAAACCTGCATAATCAGCATCAGCACATCCTACTAGATTAAAGTTACTATCTTTATGGTACCAAAGGCAAAGGTCAGTAGTGCCTTTCAAATATCTCAGTATCCTCTTGACAACAGTTAAGTGGGATTCCTTAGGATTTGCCTGAAAACGAGCACAAAGCCCTTCACTAAAAACAATATCAGGTCCGTTAGCAGTAAGATACAAAAGTGAACCAATCATACAATAAGATACAGAAGTGAACCAATCATACCCCTATACGACTTCTAATCAACATATGACCAGGTTCATCTATGTCTAATTTAGTAGTTGTTGCAGTGGGTGTATCTATTTCTTTTGATTCATCCATTTTAAACTTCTTAATCAACTCTTTTGCATATTTCTACTGATGGATCATGGTTCCATTTGGGTTTTATTTGATCTGTAAGCCTAAGAAGAAGTTAAGCTCACCCATCATACTCATTTCAAACTCACTCCCCATTAATTTAGCAAATTCCTTACTCAGTTTTTTAGTGGTTGCCCCAAAAATTGTGTCATCGACATATATTTGTACTACTAGTAGATCCTTACCTTTTTCCCTCAAGAATAGAGTGTTGTCAATATTACCTCTTTTGTATCCATGTTCAAGCAGGAATTTGGATAGGCGTTCATACCATGCTCTAGGAGCCTGCTTCTGTCCATATAGGGCCTTGTCCAGTTTGTATATATGATTTGGACACTCCTTACTTTCAAACCCTAGAGGTTGTTTAATAAAGACTTCTTCCTTTAAGTAGCCATTTAGGAAGGCACTCTTCACATCCATTTGGTGAAGGGTAAATTCCATGTGTGCTGCAAAGACTATGAGGAGTCTTATTGCCTCCAGTCTTGCAACTGGAGCAAAGGTCTCATCATAATCTATGCCCTCCTCTTGGCTATAACCTTGGACCAACAATCTTGGCTTGTTCCTTGTAACTGTTACATCTTCATCAAGTTTGTTTCTGAAAACTCATTTAGTGCCAATGACTAAGGATGGGCATAAAATCCGAAAAATCAAATTTCGAACTGGACCGAATTAATTCAGTATTTCGGTTTCAGTTTTTTCGATATTTTGGTCTAATTCGGTATTGCATTTTTGATATTTCGGTATGGTTCTCGATATTATAATTTTGAAATTTTGGTATGCCGAAATACCAAAATCTTAAAGATATTTTTTTGGACCCTATATCACACTGCCCAGCCCCAAGCGCCCAAGACCAAGTTTCTAATTTAATTCACATTTCCCATCGCCCCAGCCCCAAGCCCAACTGACCATGCCCACTCTAAAGATTATGGCATTACTCATTAGGTTAGACAATTAGCAATAGCAATGTCGAGTTTCTGTTTCACTCTCTCTCAGTCTCTCACAGTCATAGAGTCGCCATTTCCGTCTTCGATCTGGGCGTTTGCCGTTGGTGATTTTGACTCCTCTCTCCTCACTCCTCGCTCCTCACTAAATCATTGGATTATGCAAAATCTCTCTAAAAAACAAGTCTCCTTTATTTCAAAGCTCAACACTCCGGCCGGGTTCATATGAATTTTTTTCATCGAAAAATTATTGTGTATATAAAGATTTCATGATCTTTATTCTGTGATATTTTGAGGTTTCTTTCTATATTTTGTAAATCTGGTCTCTATTTTTAAGTTTTGAACTTTGATTTATGTGTGGTCAGTCTTCTCTTCTGTTCATTGAGACCAGCCGATAAAGATTTGATTTTAATTTATGGGGTTTCTTCAATTCTCTCTATCTTGAACTTGAAATCCTCTTTGGCACAAGTCAAGAGCTCTTTGTATGTTTATTTCTCCATATTTTGATATTTTGAGTTTCCTTAATAAATGTCTTGAATATGCCACTGAAATAGTGAAATGTATAAAAATTATGTTGTCGTCTGTAACTGTTCTGTTTTCAGATGTTGGAGATCTAATTTGTTCTATTTCTGTAACTGTTATGTTTCAGATGTTTGGTTCTGCTACAGTGCTGTATTTCTTGTTTGTTGAGCTACATTTCTTGTTTGTATTTTGGAGGCTGATTGTATTTTAGCCCGTTGAGCTGCATTTTGGAGCTGCTACAGTGTTGTCCTAGATAGCAGAATGTTAAAGTTTGTTTGTTTGTTTGTTTGTTTTCTGCTGCATTTATCGTTGGTATTTTGGACTTTTGGTACTAGTTGTAGTTGGTATTAAAAAATTCAAGTGTTTTAGATTAGTGCCATGTTAAAGTTTTAGGCCAACACTCTATTTTTACTTTTTTAGTGCAATGTTAAAGTTTAGAAACAACAATTTATTGTTTTTTTATCAGCATTACGTTGTTCTTTATCACCGAATATTAAACCGAAACCGTACCGAACCAAAATAATAAATACCAAATCGTACCGAAATACTTTGGTACGGTATTTGGTATACACAATTGATAAACCGAATACCGAAATACCAAATCGAAATTATTAAATATCGAACCAAAATACCGAATGCCCACCCCTACCAATGACTGATCTGTCCTTGGGTCTTGTGACCAGATGCCACACTTGACTTCTTTTAAACTGATTGAGTTCATCTTGCATTGCATTCACCCAATCTACATCTTGCAAAGCTTCAGCAACATTTTTAGGTTCAATAAGAGATAAGAATACATCAAAAGCACACAGATTCTTTAATTGAGATCTGGTTTTACCTCCAAAAGTTGGGTCAGTGAGGATGTTCTCAATGGGATGAGAACTTTGATACTTGTAAGGTTTCCTAACCAACTGATTTCTGTTTGGAGTTTCTTTCATGTTCTGTTACTGAGGAACAAGCTCATGGACAATTTCCATTTGGAAATTAGATTCACTTCTTCTTTGTTCAGTTCCCCCTATCAGGTTGCCCTGGATGGAAAACCTGTTCCTTCTTTTGGTGCAGCTTCAGCTTGGGCTGTGACTTCACTCAAATTTTTTACCAGCCCAATAGCTTCAACTTCATGTTCTTGTCTCTCAGAAAGAATGTTAGTTTCATCAAAAACTACATGTACACTTTCGTCTACACAGAAAGTTCTTTTGTTTTACACTTTATAAGTTTTGCTATGTGAAGAATATCCCAAGAATACTCCTCCATTACTTCCGGGATCAAACTTGCCTAGGGAGTCCTTTCCATTATTGTGCACAAAGCACTTTCATCCAAATGCCCTAAAATGGGATATATTTAGTTTTCTCCCTTTAAGTAACTCATAGGGAGTCTTCTCTACAAGAGGTCTAGTCATGCACCTGTTAATGATGTAACATGCAGTATTTACAGCCTCTACGCAGAAGCTATGGGGCAATTTACTAGAAAGAAGCATAGTCCTAGCCATATCTTCAAGAGTCCTATTCTTTCTTTCAACTACTCCATTTTGTTGAGGAGTCCTAGGGGCAGAGAAATTATGATCTATACCATGCTCATCACAAAATTCAGCAAACTTAGCATTTTCAAATTCAGTTCCATGATCAGACCTAATTGATGAAAGTTGATTACCTAGTTGTTTCTGAGTTTTTCTATCAAAGTTAGTAAACATGTCAAATGTTCCATCCTTAGATGTTAAAAACAATACCCAAGTAAACCTAGAGTAATCATCAACAAGTACTATCACATATTTCTTACCACCTCTGCTCAATGTTCTCATTGGACCACAGAGATCCATATGAACCAGTTCCATCGACCTGGTCGTGCTTACCACTTTCTTGTTTTTAAAAGAGGATCTTACCTGCTTCCCCCTTGCACAAGCCTCACAAACTTTGTCTTCCTTGAACTTGATGTTAGGTAACCCTATCACCATGTCCTTGGAGACTAATTTGTTGAGTTGATTTAGATTTGCATGACCAAGTCTTTTGTGCCATAGGAGGGGATCATTGTCGAACACACTTAAGCAAGTGAGTTCGTTTTCTGACAGAGTCGACAGATCTACAATATAAATATTGTTAACTCTTTTTCCTTGCAAAACAATCTTGTCAGTAGTAAGATTAATCACAAAACATTTGGTAGAGGTGAATGCTAGAAGGTTACCTCTGTCACACAGTTGTGATATACTGATTAGGCTATATTTCAAGCCATCTATCAAGTAGACATTCTCAATGGAATGTGAGTCTGTCTTACCTACCTTTCCAACCCTAATAATTTCACCTTTCTTCCCATTTCCAAAGGAGATATTACCTTCTTTTAGGTCCTCAAGTGAAAGAAACTGGTTCTTACTTACAGTCATATGCTTTGAGCAGCCACTATCCATGTACCATATTTACTTCCCTTCACTTGGACCTGCAAAACAAAATCAGGGGTTAGTCTTAGGAACCCAAACTAGTTTGGGTCCCTTTCTATAGGCAAAGAGGTGAATTAGATTCCTTTTAGCCCATCTAGGCAGCCTATTTTTCTCTTGAAGAAAGATTTGTTCTTTTGACTTGCCTTTTCTTTTGCATTACATTCACTTTTGTAATGATCAGTCTTGCCACAATGTGTGCAGATTTTGTTCTCAGGAAGTGTGATGTACTTGTTTTTGGGATCCCACTTAGGTGTTGGGGTCCCATAGCCAAGTCCTATCTTATTGCTACTGTGGCGCTCTTGTAGCCAGGATAGTGCATCAGAGGACTTATTCCATTTGCAAGTTCTGTCTAGTTCATGCTTCACCTTGCCTAGATCTTCTTTTAGGACTCTTATCTACTCATCTCTCTTGTACAACTCATCCTTCATTTTTCCAAGATTTTCTTCTAAGGTGAGATGTGTGTGATTAGTTTTCTTTTTACCTGTTCCTAATTTTAGTTTTAAATTTTCAGATCTAAATTCTAAGACAGTGGTGTCAAGTTCAAGAACCTGGTTCTTCAGCTCAATATTTTATCACTTTCACTAGCCCTGAGTTCAAGATTTTTGCACTTGGCTTTTCTTTACTTGAGGAGTTCCTTCATGGGCCACTTGTAGAGTGTCCCAGATTTTCTTAGCAGTAGTAAAACTTTAAATTCTGATGTACTCGTCTGAACCTAGTCCACACACAAGCCATTTCTTGGCCTTGGAATTCTTTTCCCATTTCTTCAAATCTTCAATAATACAGTTAGCTCTCGTCTTTGGCACGTCCAGTCCTTCAACATTCTTCTTTGTAGTAGCTAGGGGACTATCAGTAACAATGTCCCAAAGTTCATATCCTTCTCCTATATGTAGTCTCTCATTTTGTTCTTCCACCAGGAATAGTACTGGCCATTAAAGAGTGCTAACAATGGATTGTTCTTTCCAGTTTTCAGGTGGTGCACTCATCTTGATCTGTTCCTAAGGTGTTAGCCTCTTCAAGGAGAACCCGCTCTGATACTAATTGATGTTTTATACTTCAATACTACACAAGAGGGGAAG